AATAATCAAGCTTCCAGAAATCCACCAAAAGAACAGAATATTAAAAGCAGCCAGAGAAAAGAATCAGATTACCTACAATGGGAAAATTATCAAAATAACAACAGACTTATCAACACAAACTCTTAAGTCAAGAAGGGAATGGGGAGAAATATTCCAAGTCCTGAAAGAAAATAATATGCAACCAAGGCTCATATACCCGTCAAAACTCTCTCTCAAAATTAATGGAGAAATAAGATGCTTCCAAGACAAGGAGGAACTGTGGGAGTTCGTGGCCACCAATCCAACCCACAGAGAGTGCTGAAGGACATTCCAGAGAAAGAGAGGAAGTGATACCAGCATTCCAGCAACAGTGGCAGAGAGGCCTCAATGAATGGGGCAGACAGTGGAATGAGGGAATAAGGTGGACAAATTATAGCAGAAAAGTGGAGTAGCAGACATGAGGCAGAGATGGTAAGTTATAGTTTTTAGTATAGACAGCTCTGAAACACTATAAAAAAAGGCAGAGGTCATTGTTAATAGTGAATCAGGATTTAAAAGACACAGTAGTCTTATAGCCATATTTAGTTTGAATTTAATTTGTTCTGGTCTGTCCACTCATGTAAGATTTGAGGGCACAGACATCTGACCCAAAAATAGCAGATTATACCATGGTAACTATCCTTACTTTTCTGTTAACTTAAACTGAAATCCTGTATTATTTACATTGTCTTACTATGACTGATCTTAATTGAATCTGAATCATAAGACCATGGGTTGGCCTTGGCTGACTTTATTTGAATTTGGTATGCTTGTTAGTATCAACCCTAAAAGTAGAGGCAACTACTCTGAAGATGACAAGATGTAAAGGATATACATACTGGTATTAACTATTAACAGCTCTCAAATCCTACAATGCTTTCAAAGTTGTGTTTTTATAAAAATAGGTAATACTATGTTTAACTATATTAAGCCAGTGTTGTGGACAAATCTATTGAAAATAACAAGAGAAAACATAGTAACTACAGAAGATCACCTCTATTGCAGTCTTATATGTCTTATCCATTGCATGTTTTTCTAGGAATTTGTTTTGCTGTCTTGTTATGACTTGGTTTTCCCTATAATAGAGAGAGGATAGATATATATGTAGAAATTCACACATGAGTTTTTTTAAAAAAAATATTTATGGGAACAGATTATATAATGCAAGATGTAATGAACAGATACTCTGAAGAAGAGACGCTAAGAAACCCAATACTAATTTTGTAGCATTATGATATAAATTCTAGCAATACTATTGTTTGCTGATTAGAATGACATTGGTCTGGTCTCTTGAGTTCAGTTTCAGCATATGTAGAGATGGGGACGGCTACCACAAAGAGAATGAGAGATGCGGAGGTATTTAGTATTGTCTTCTCTAATTATGGATCTTGAAGACCTAAAAAGCCTTCATTATCCTGTAATGATTTGATTAGTTGTATAATATGCAATAAGTATATAAAGTGGGTGAAGATGGGGACAACTATTTGTAAGAAACTAGCGACAGTTAGATAGACAGTGAAGATCTCCAGTGAACTTGCTTTGAAATCTGCATTTCTTTAAATTGTTTTTTAACTGTTTTGATATGTTTAATCTTACCCTCTCTGAGATGTAAAACAAGTGTGTAGGACTGACAACCATATTACTGAGTTTTTGTTCAATCCTTGAGCAGAACTGTTTGTAGTGTCACTTTTTGAATGGCATTCTAAATACTTTAATTTTGTAACCTGAACAGCTATTTCTAAGATGACAATATGTAACTTATCAACCAGTGATTTCTTACCGTTTGTTTTTCTGTAACTTTATATTATTTCTACCCTTTTTTATCTCCAGGTATTTTTTTGTTTCCTTTTCTTTAAATACAAAAAAAAAAAAAAAAGAAAAAAAAAAAAAGAAAGTGTATCTACCTCCTCACATGCAAGTTATTCCTTCGTGGTGAAAGCAAGTCTTTCTTCTAGATTGTTAAAAAATGGACAGCATGGTATCATTGCCAATCGTTGTGGCACAAGCAATAGCAGACTATTATAAAAGTGGGCCAAGCCCATTAATTTTCCAGCAATTGTATTAAAAATCCATTAAACTTTATTGGACACTTTCTCAGATGAGGCAAAATCACACCATGCTGTGTGCTCACTTCCGTGTGGCTCTTCAGTTCAGCACATCGAGCTCTTTAAATGTGTATAATTGTCCTATGTCACTATTCTCTAATAAGCGAGTTAAAATTTTAAACACTGAGTGGTGAGGGACACAGGGCCAGTTGCCTTTAATAAAGATACAGCTATCTTCTCTAATTGGGTTAGAAAACAAATATGATTGTAGGAATAAAAAATATAATTAACAGTAACCAATTCTTCTTTTGGTATAGCCCATAAAGTTAATCTTAGTGTAGAAACAAAGTAAACTGAGTGAGCCAGCAGAAGCCACATGGGCCAGGAAAAAACTCAACAAGTTAACCCCAAAAGGAATGCTCCTGCACTGTTGGTGGGCATGCAGACTGGTGCAACCACTGCGGAGGTCAGTCTGGAGGTTCCTCAAAAACCTGGGACTGGAAGTCCCATTTGTTCCAGCTATTCCACTTCTGGGCATATTTCCAGAAGAACTGAAAACATCATACCACAGTGATATATATGCACCTATGTTTATAGCAGCACATTTTATAATAGCCAGATATTGGAAACAACCTAAGTGTCCATCAACTGAGTAATGGTTAAAAAAGTTGTGATATTTTTATACAGTAGAGTACTACTCAGCTATAAAGAATTATCACATTGAGATATTTATAAATAAATGGATGCAACTTGAGACCATCTTCATAAGTGAAATAAATCAAACTCACATGTATAATTCCGTATAGTCTCTCTAGTGTAAGAAATAGTAAGAGTACTTAATATTTTATGGTAATCATGGTTTCTCATTATATTGTTTTGAATTCTTACAGTGTTTTCAATCATTGGTTGGAATGGTTTTATTGTTTTGTTTGATCTTGTTATGTGTGATGGTATGAACAGCTACTTTGAAGAAAGCAAGACATTATAGCAGCCTTGCTGATTTAGTATAATCTTGCTTTGAAGTCCTACCATGCTTTTGTTTTTCTGTTTCAATTGGTTCTATCATATTGTATCTTACTGGATTTTACTATGTGTGATAGTATAAACAAAATTTTCATGGAAAGTGAGATATTATAGAAGCCATTGTTCATTTCTTGTTATTTGGTTTTGAATGTCCTGTAATACTCTCATTCTCTTGAATGGCTTTATACTATTTTGTTATGTTTGATATTATTGTGTGTGAAGGTACACTCAACTACTTCAAAGAAAGAGACATTATGGTAGCTTCTGTTGATATCGGGTTGTCTTGTTGAAGAAGTGCTGTGTTGCTTGCATTGTTTTGTTCTGACTTGCTTTTTTCTGTCCTCTTTTGTTTTATTATCTTTAAATCGAATTTAAAAAAGAAGTTAACCCACCTGTCCCATCAACCAGCTAGCATGAGGGCTGGGATGCAAGAGGCTTGGCCCCCTCGCACCAACCAGGCAACTGGCTGAACACAGGAACACAGGTTGAGCTGATAGGAACCAGGGCACAAAAACAGTTCAGTGCTTGTCTTGTTGGATTGACTTTCTAGGCCTAGAGCCAATAGTCTGAGCATCTAGAGGAAAACACAATGCAATATAGCTGCCTCGGGAGATTTCCTTCTGTCTTGTTTTTGAAATCCAATACTGTTTTCACTGTTGGTTCCATTGTGTTTTATTAGATTTACCACTTATTTTTTATTTGCTGGAGTATGTTTTTCATAGTTATTTGTTTAAGGAGATTTAAAAACCATGGTACTTTGGTCAGAAAAATAATAAGTATATCTTATAAAGTTAAAAAAAAAACCTTGATGTTTCGTTGGCTATTTCATGACTGCGTTCATCATTACCCTGCTATTCAGCTATTTTACATAACTATTGCAAGGTGACCGCAGTGAGATTCCACACCAGACGTCTCAGAAGGACATGCATGCGTGCTCTAGAAGTTGCTGATTCAGTGAAGCAGCTGGGCCGGAAGTCACACTCCCCTCTGGGTCAGCAACAGAACAAAGACTGAACTGATTCCTGGGGGTAAAAGAGATGTACAGGGCTGGGGATCCAGCTCAGTCATACAGTATTTGCTAGAGCACAGAAAGCTCTTGGTTTAATCACTACCTACTGGGAAGGGAAAAAAAATGATACATTTGCAAGATGATACTGATGAGACTTTCGATTTGGAGGGTAGGGTAATATTTTGAGTGTAGAGCTAGACATTCTGAACAACCTTGCCAACAAGATAAGTCAATGAAAGAAGACAGTATATCAACCAAGATACCAATTCTCAAACCAAGTCAATAAATTCTCTTCACATGGACAACTCTTCACAATACACTGGGTAGGAACAGAACACAGAAAGAAAATAATTTTCCAAAGCAATAAACTTACCAATTTCAAAACTTTCTTGGTCATATTAAAGGTCATTCCTGACTCTAAGGTCGTATGGAATCAATCTATTTATCCAAATTTGTAGCTGACTTTAATTGCCAAGTACAATTGTCCTAGACAAACAGTATAACCAAAGTAAAACCTTTGACTATTTTATAAGCACATAAACAAAAAATAAGTCAATGTGATATGTTACCCTACAGCACTTATAAATACGAAATCTGATTGTTCCATGGTAGAAATGAGAATTTCCAAACACTTCCTATCCAAGAACGGGAACAAGAACGGGAACAAGTTTGGGGGAGTAATAAATGACAAAAAAACAAAACAAAACAAAACAAAACAAAACACAAAACTGAAATAACTAGAAAGAAGAGAAAATCTAACAAAGTGATTTAAGTAAATTATTTAGAGAACTACATCAAAGAAATGGAAATTGCAGGCAGTAAAGGAAAACACATCATGTTGTACAATCTGATCAAAGAATCAAAATTGCAACTCCAAAATTTGAGCCCCGAATTGAGAAGCATTGCTACAGAGGTGGGTCAGCTGGTCCTCTGCCCGATGCCCTCCCGAGAAGTCCTCTCAGCGCTCTCTTGATGTCTTCATTCCTCAGACTGTAGATGAAGGGGTTCAGCATGGGGGTGACCACAGTGTACATCAGTGAGGCTACTGCAGTAGAGCACCAGTCTTGGGTGACAGCAGAACTCAGGTACACACCCAGGAGCGTGCAGTAAAACAGGGAGACCACCGAGAGGTGAGAGGTGCAGGTGGAAAACGCTTTGTACTTCCCTCGAGCTGATGGAACTGCACGTATGGAGGATATTATCTTAGAATAGGAGAACAGGATGCCAGCAAGGGGACCCATAGCCAGCAGCACTGCTGTAACATATATGGCCATGTCATTGAGAAAGGTGTCAGAACAGGCACGGTGGACGACCTGATCCAGTTCACAGAAGAAGTGTGGGATTTCCAAGTGACTGCAGAAGGACAGACGCAAAGCCATGAGGGTGTGTAACAGGGAATTCAGGACACCCAGGATCCAGCATGCCAGAAGCAATAACCCACAGAGCCAGCGGTGAATGATAACAGTGTAGTGCAGGGGGTAGCAGATGGCCACGTAGCGGTCATAGGCCATCACCGTCAGGAGAAAGATGTCCAACCCCGAAAAAAGCAACAAAAAGTACATCTGGGTGATGCAGCCTGCATAGGTAATGAGCTGGCTGTGGGTCTGGATGTTCACCAGCATCTTGGGCACAGTGGTGGAGGTCAAGCCGATGTCCACAGAGGACAGGTTGGAGAGGAAGAAGTACATGGGTGTGTGCAGGTGGGGGTCAGAGACGATGGCCAGGAGGATGAGCAGGTTCCCAAGCACCGTGGTCAGGTACATGGAGAGGAAGAGCCCGTAAATGAGGGGCTGCAGCTGTGGGTCCTCTGAGAGTCCCAGAAGGAGAAATTCTGAAGGCCGAGTAACGTTTCCTGGTTCCATGCTTTGGGTATAACTTCCAAAAATAAAAATGGAGTGAGACAAAGAGCATTAGCAAAGGATGCATGACTCACCTGCCATGAATACTAGCAATTTTTCACTAAGGTGGGTAGAACTCAGGGCCTCTCACATGCAAGTTAGGGGCTTTGCTACTGAGCTACACTTCCATCCAGATCTTCTAGTCAGGAAAATAATTTCTGTGTTTTTGCATGGATTTTTCCCCTTTAGCAGATTCCAGCTATAATGTCTCATTATACTGGAATGTCTCATCAAGAAGTCCTATCTCAAGAAGTCCTATCTCAATAATGTCTCATCAAGAAGTCCTATCTCATAAGCCAAGTGTCAATATTCTAAGAATTTATTGAAAAAACATATGCATTTGAGGAATATAAGTTGACAATGGTCCATGTCCCAGGCATTTTGTGGACAATCAATGAACAGTGAAGGAGCCATGACTCCAGCAAGTGGTGGGTGACCCAAGGAGAGAACAGCCAGCACCTCCAGAGATTCACCCCATGTTGGAACTTAGGGTGCTAGGAAACAAAGGAACCTGCTCACCTCCCTGGTAGGCAGCCATGAGCCTACTGGTGCATGGGCTGAGAATCAAACATCCTCCCCACCATAACAAACAAGAGCCAGAGGTCTGAGCATGTCTTGGGAGGTTGACCACATGCAATACAGCAAACATGGGGGATTTCCTTCTACCATCTCTTTGAAGGCAAATATTGTTATCACTGTTTTGCTTTGTTTTGATTAATTGTATCGCTCTATTCAATACTCTGTTTTGATAGGTTTTATAATGTTCTGAATTTGGTATGATTTTCCTGTACCTGATTTAAAGAACAACTATTGTGAAGATACCGAGATATACTAAGGTATCTATTCCTGTTCTGAAGTTCTGTACCAATTTCACTGCATTGTCTCGATTGGCTTTGTTTTGTCTTGTTCTGTTGTATTTTACTCTCTTCAAAATAGGAAAAAATTTAAAAAAATTTTAAAAAATGAAGAAAGCAAAATGTCTACAGTAAAATGATGGACGGGCATATAAGCAACTTGTAAACCATTTATTATGTCTGATGATGCTAAGTACTGTTTTACTGAGCTTTTCCCAGAAACAGTCAGCTTGTAAAGGGAGAAGATGATGTTGGCTCGGGTTTTGAATGACGTTCTGTCCCTGCAACACTGGGAGTGACATAATGCCACACGTCATGGCAGGAGTGCATGGCAGAGAATATCCACAGACCATCATGACCAGGAGGCAAAAGAGAGTGGAAAGTGTGCTGCAGGAACCAAGTCTCCTTCAAGGATGTGCCCCCCTAGTAGTCTAAAGACCTCTTCCGAAGCCCATCTCCACCCACTCTACCACCTCCTAGTAGCTCTACCTTGGGGACCATCACTGTAATGCATGTTGGTTACAGGATGCTTCAAGATCCAATTGTAGAAAATGTGGTGAAAAAAGATGGAAAGGAGAGAGTTGGTGGGGTTCTGTGTTTGCTGGTTATGCCAAGAAGACCAGGGACAAAGCAACATTTGAACAGAAACACGCAGAAAGACAGGTGGGGAGCAGGAGGGCTTCGGGGCTGTGCGCGGCTCCCAGGAGGAGCAGCGGGGTCAAAGGCCCTGGAGAAGACGCTTCTCTCAGGAGCTCAGCACTAACAAGGAAGCCCTGTGACCAGGGGGTGAGAGGGGCCACGTGTGACACAGAACAAGGACCGACCTGTGTGCAGGGGCGTCCGCTCCTCCACTGGACGTGGAAGTGGAAAGGTCACTGATTCCAGGGTGAGAGGCCAGTTCTGCAAGCGAGACCTCATCTCACGGAGAGAAAGAGGTCGCAGGTGTGGGTCTGTGCTGGTGTTTATTGGGGTGCCTGAGGCCTTCACTCCTGCACCCAATTCCTGCTTTTGACTCCTGGCACCCAGAACTGTGTGCAGCCTTATTGCTGCTGAAAGTTCAGGACAAGAGGCGGCTCTCTTTCCAGCTGCCATAATGTTTGCTTTAATCAGTTGAGTCAAAATCTCCCAGGCACTGACGTCAGCCCTTGGTTACCTCCTGTGCTGCCTTCAGTTCTGGCTTCTGTATTGTGAAGGGTGGACCAGTCCCTCTCCTCGGAAGCCTGCACTCACTCCTGAGTTACTTGTTCACACACACACACACACACACACACACACACACACACAGACACACACACACACAGACACACACACACACACACACACACACACACACACACACACACTGAGCACAGCAGGCTTACATGCAGGAATCACAGTGAGGACTCCTGGGACCGTGTAAACGACATGGTTTTCTCACACTGTGCACACATTAGAGAGGGACGAACACACAGAAAGCTGTCTCCATCAGATTAATTTCGATTTTCATCCAACTGTGGTCTGTCCTCTGTCTACAGAAACATTTTAGAAGCATAAAACATCTGTTCAACCAACAGGGCACACAGAATGGAATGAACCTTAGGGATTGAAAACAGTTTAAAGGTTCAGGTGACTCCTGGAAGGGCAGGAGCAGGAATTCCCTTCCTCAGCTGTGCAACCTTCTGGCTCGCCTTAACCCAGGACCATCGACAAATGGCAGCAACAAATGTTTCCAGGAGAAAAGTTCTACTCTCCTTTTAGTGTCCAACATCTACAGACTGAGCAGCTCAGGAGAAAAGTGGGCAAAAGGAATGCTAAGCAACCTTTCACAAGAGAAAATGGATGTAGATCTACGGGTTTTAGGCATTTTACAGGAAAAAAAAATGAAACATTGCATCTTCTGTCCATTCCATATTTATCTGGAGTACTGGTCTTTTACTGTCTTTTTGTAGATCAAAAACAATTCCCTTAGATTTTTTCCCTTCTGCTATTCCTTGTTATTCAGAAGTTTTGGGTTTTCATCTCTCTCTCTCTCTCTCTCTCTCTCTCTCTCTCTCTCTCTTTCTCTCTCTTTCTCTCCCTCTGTCTCCCTCTGTCTCTCTCTGTGTCTCTGTCTCTGTCTCTCTCTCCCTGTCTGTCTGTCTGTCTGTCTGGTTTCTCTCTAGTCCTGAAAGGGCTGGGTATGTAGCTCAGCACCACAGTGCCTGCTGACAAGTAAGTTCAAGGCTGTGAGTTCAATCCCTGGTTCCAAAAAAGATGTCAATGCCTGTGCTACCCTCAAGTCTACATTCTGATCATTCTCAATTAGCAAATATTTTCTGCTGTTCTTTATAAATTCTGTAGGGTAACACTCTGGGAGTCTGCTCTTTTACACTGAGAAATATTCTCCATGTGATTGATCCAGAGAGCACTAGGTCACACACACATCCCACCTACACTGATTTTACCCTTAGATTTCATGACTCAGGTGAAGAGATTTCACATTCCTTGTTCAGTTTTATGCTTGCACAACAGTGTATAAATACACGTACTTCGTATAGAGACAAATTTAAAGAAAATGAGAAGCTATCACATAAAAGGTGTGGCAGGGAGGAGACTGAAACCAGGTTGGATAGAACAATCTGAGAACTGTTAGTAAAAAATCCAAAAGGAGCCTGACAAAAAATTAAAATAGGTTACGAAAGGGGAATGATTTAATGACTTCAACAGGGATTAATAACTCAATTTACAAAGATTCACAAGAGATTAGCATATAATTGAGGTAAAGCATCTGCATATATCCTTTTAGACATGGATGGAGTTCAGGGGTACAAAAGGCATACACAGGGCTCTGGTTCAATGTCCAGCATCACAAAAATAAACTCTTTCTAAATATGTACGTGTGAAATACATTCAAGAAAATAAAAGGCAATCTTCAGTCAGATGAATATAATATCTTCTAAGTGATGACCAGAAATAATGTGCCTCATAGAACTGGATCAGAAAAGATCAAATAATGTATATTCCCCCAAACATACTTACATAAAAATTTTAAAAACTACATGGCAATAGTGAATGTGGATAAAAACTCTAATTCTTATATTTGGAAAAAATGCCATTCTGTTAATATCGCTTCAGTCCTTTTGTGTAAGAATCTAGTTCATGTCTTGTACTCTGAGTAACAACTGAAAGTAATGATACATGGCATATTAGTTATTGTCTTATGCTTTGTTATCAAATTTTGTTTTCTTATAAAGTAAGAAGAGAAAAGTCTAATTAAAAACAATACTCTGACCACATTGCATAAACACAAAGAACTACATAGGCAATGAAAAAAATTATTGAAAACAATAACACAAATTCATTTGGATTCACCAGTAAGAAAAAAATTGCAAGCAAACTTCATTACTGTAATATCCTTTTTAATCTATCAAAGGTTTTCATCTGCCTGTCTCCCATGAGGGGAAATAACTGATAAATGTGTACAGTACCTGCTGTACTGATACTGCAAGGAATCTTCAGGAAATTCTCTGTTCCAGAACTCTCCGATGGAAAGATGCTACAAATGGAAACACACCCTAGAGTGTCCATCATCAAGAAGAAGAGACACAGCCCACGTCAAAATCTGTCCCCTCACAGCTGAAGTCCTGTGTCTGTGCTCCAGGGATTGCAGAAACATATTCTCACAGTAACCTGGAGCCACTCTGGTCCTAATGCTTCCTCTTGTAGCTAAGCTTCCACAGGTTCAGTGTGTAGAGGATTTGTTTGGGGATTTTGTTTAATTGCAGATTCTTTTTTTATTTTAAAGAGAATAAAACAAAAGAAAACAAATTAGAACAGAACAGAGCTGTGAGCTGTCGCAGTGCTAAGCTCCAGGGATGCCTCTGTGGTTACCATCATAGCTGAACACCCAAGTTAACTGAGCAGGAAGTGTCTATTGCATTGTCTGCTCTCTACCCTAAACTGAATTCGCCCTTAAGTGAGCGAATTCAAACGAATCCCTCTAGCAAATTCTGCCAGCTTTCATTCCCTCTGAGCCTTTCCTTTAGCACCACCACAACTCTTGGGCTCACCTAGATGAGATCTTTCAAAAAAAGGTCTCTGCATAGGCACCTCAAATACAGGCTGGAGACTTGGTGATGGAGATGGAAGCTC